GTGTCGTGTCACTCAGCACTCACTCTGTTTGTCCTCCTTCATCCTCTCTGCTCTCATCTATTGCCCCCTGTTTTTTTCTTCTCCTGAAGTGTGCGAGCGTCAGGGTGACTGTTAACTTGTCTTGTTTTGATGGAGTATTGTTTGAGAAGGAGACAGAGATCGTGCTGTGGGTGGGAGTGATGGATGTCGTTCACGCTCTCTGAGTCCAGGCAAAGTCACTGAAGCTTATGATAGACTATTCGCTGAAATCTTGCTTTTGATTATTCATGTGTTTCCTTTCAAACAGAGAGGTCAGCGGCTCGTGGGACTTCACGGTAGATGGAAAATGACATTGTAGTAACTTACAACTAGCACATTACAAATACACTTCACACATTATATGAACTACTACTATTCAAAAGTTAGAGGTCAGTAAGATTTTATTTTGAAGAAATTATTGCTATTCAGCAGGGATGCAGAACAAGTGACAATAAAGACATTTATAATGTTACAAAAGATTTCTGTTTCAAATAAATGCAGTTTTTTAACAAACAAAGAATAAAGAAAAAACAATGTATCACAGTTTCCACAAAAATATTAAGCAGTACAACTGTCAACATTGATAATAATAATAAATGTTTCTCGAGCATGAAATCAGCATATTAGAATGATTTCTGAAGGATCATGTGACACTGAAGACTGGAGTAATGATGCTGAAAATTCAGCTTTGCATCACAGGAATAAATTACATTTTACAATATATTAAAATAAATAACTGTTATTTTAAATTGTAATAATATTTCACAATTTTTGATCAAATAAACACAGCCTTGATGAGCATAAGAGACTTCTTTCAAAAACATTTAAAAAAAAATCTTACTTGACGTCAAACTTTTGAACGGTAGAATGCATAATGTGAAGTAACAGGAAACAAGTGCTGTGCTTCTTTTCTCTATATTTAAATGGGGAAAAAGCTATCTGTGATTATCTTGTGTGAGATATTTTAGTTTGGTTTGCTTGAAAATGTCAAGAGCCCTATTAAAGAGGATCTATTGCTTCAAATTGTTTCCTAAGATAAGCATTATTGTGCATTAGGGCTGGAAAAAAAGATTCACGCATTGTAATGCTTTCTCAAGGGAATCTGCAATCGGGGAAAAAAGGATTTTACATTTATAGTAATATCATTTGAAATAATAATGCTGTTTATGGAAAAAGCATGTGCGGTATTATCAGAGGTGTATTTTTGTCTGAGCAGGTGGTTGTGAATAATCGTGATTCACTTTTATTCAGGTATGCAAACTTTTCACAAAACCAGATGAAAATTTGCATCAACCTGAATAGTTTTAGCACGAATTTTCATCAGTGATTCATGTCGCATTTAAATTGAGAACATAACTTTTCGAATTCATATCGCACATTTCCATCTATTGTACAGTCTCCGTGTACTTCGAAAAGGATGATTTTTTACTAAAATATGTGCAGCTTAATGCCATTGCTTAGAGGACTGATTTGTCAAGTCAGGTCACCGTTATTTCTACAGCGCTTTATACAATACAGATTGTGTCAAAGCAGCTTCTCAAGAGATAAACAGGAAAATAGCAGAATCAATTATGGAAACTCAACTATAGAGAAAATGTATTGTTTGTAATCGCATTGTGACTCCCTGAATCAAAATCAGATTGTGAGGATTTCCAGCGTTACTATACATAACATGAATGACCTCTGCTGTGTTTGTAGAGACGAGGTGGGGATGAATAAGTATTGTATGTTTTTCAGTCTTTTGAGTTTCAGCTGAAGTCTCTCTCAAACATTTCTCTGATTTTGCCTGGTCAGTATTGTTAAGACATCTGTTGTCATTCTGATTGTCCTCTCTGCACAGCTTTGACTATCTACCTGTCTCTCTGTCCGTTTCTCAGACCCTACAGCGATGTCCACCTCTTCAGGAGTAGACCATGCTGTGATTGGTGGAGTAGTTGCTGTCATTGTCTTCATCATGCTTTGTCTCCTCATCATCCTCGGCAGATACCTCATCAGACACAAAGGTACCACATACTGACACACGACCCTAATCAGACACAAAGAAATCCCTCGCTCTCTTTCACACACACACACACACACACACACACACACACACACACACACACGCACGCACAGACCTAATCAGACACAAA